TAATTCCTGTGGAATCAGTTGACAAGCTGAGGCCTGGGAAACACTGGGAAGAGTTGAGGTTATCAGACTCTAGAATCTTAGAGAAGGAAGAAGTCAGTGCCGTGGGCGTATCTGTGCATATATGTGAGACAGGGCTGCTGGCCAGCTGATGCATGTATATTTCAGGGGGTACAATGATGCCAGTTTTGTGTGTGGGGCAAAAATGTTGGAAACTTGAATGATGTGATACTACCGGCAACTCAAAGAGGAAGAATCCTCTTTTTTTGCCCTCTTCCCATTTCCTCTCTCTCTCTTGTGCCTTGTACTATCAGAAGCTAATAGCAAGCCAACTGGGTGTATGGAGACCGCCTTGAGGTCATGGGTGTGGACTGTGGGTGAGCATACATAGCAATAGGGTGATTGACTTACTGAACTGGCCAGGGTGAAGGTGACCTCATTCTTATAATTGATCATCTGCAAGAGCAACTTCACAAACAGCAGAAATATTTTATTCCCAAATAACCTGACCAATCAGAATGAAGGTGAACCAGTTCATGTTCCAAATTCTCAAAGCTAGAACTCCCTTCCCTTTTCTTGTGTCTCATGCTGAACTGGGGGCTGAACTTTGGAACCTTTGGAAATTGCTTATCCATCCTTATTAGTGAATAAAATTTAAACATGATTAAATAGAAACTGCTCATAGGTAGAGAAAGTGGATTTGTTTTTATCTCATGGATTCTGTACATTTCATAAGAAGCTGGTAGAAACCTCAGTGTCATTCACTCCAATGTGCTGTTTTAACCTGGCTGGCCTCATGTATCAGTCAGCACAGATTAAGTTATGCTGCAGTAACAAATGATCCCCAAAGCTCACTGGCTTATAATAATTGATGTTTAGTCTTGGATCCATCAAGTGGAAGAGCCAGATTTTGAATAAATGATCACATCGCCAAAGACATAATTTTAAAGTGTGATTTGTGGTTTGGAGAAAAAATGTACAAAGAACTCTAAACTTGGGTCTTGTCTGAGGTGATGGACAAGGAGACTTCCCTTCAGAAATGTATTTGAGCTACAGTATAAAGGATAACAAGGTGGTTTGGAGGAGTGATCTAAGTAGAGGTAACTGAGATAGGAAATAGCCTATTTTGGGAAAGAAAGAAATCCAAAGTGACTTCAGAAAGACTGAAGGAGTAGAGATAAGAAGATGTAGGGATCTAGAAGTTAAGACTTTTTTCCTTTTCCAAAGGGCTGTGGGAGGTCGCAGAAAGATTTTAAGAAGATGCACAGCAGGTCATATTTGCATTTTCAAAGATTTATTTCACATTTATCATTTATTATTGTTATTATTTTAGAGATAGTTCTGTTGCTCAGGCTGCAGTGCACAATCATAGCTCACTGCAGTCTCAACTTCCTGGGCTCAAGTGATCCTCCCACCTCAACCTCCCAAGTAGCCCAAGTAGCTGGAACTTACAGGCACGCACCATCATACCCAGCTCAGATCTGCATTTTAAAACGACTGTTTCTGCTGCTATGGGAGAGCGTCTTGCAGAACAGATAAACAAAGCCGCACTTGTCTTGGAGCTGATGTGGCAAAAGCTACAGGATCCCCACTTTTATGGGACTCTCCGTGGTCTGAGGAGAGACCCTGACAATCTGCTTATGTGGCTGTACAAATTCTGCATTGCTGTTTGTCCTTTTCTTAAAGAGGGACTTTTCTGCCCAATTGTACAGGTCCTACAAAGCCTGGATCAGTTCCTGATGCTGAATATGAAACTTCCAGGTGAAACCTACACATCCTTGCTTAATAATTGGGGAAAATCTTTAGTCGGAGGTCTTGAAGAACAAAGCCATTGACATGGTTTGGGTCTGTCTCTGCTCAATCTCATGTCAGATTGTAATCCCCAGTGTTGGAGGTGGGATCTGGAGGGAGGGGGATTGGGTCACGTGGGCAGATTTCTCGTTTGGTGCGGTTCTTGTGCTATCGAGTGTGTTATCGCGAGATCTGGTTCTTTAAAAGTGTGTAGCTCCTCCCCACCTCCCTTCTTCCTGCCCCAGTCACGTAAGGCGTGTCTGCTTTCCCTCCACCTTCGGCCATGATGGTAAGTTTCCCGAGATCTCACCAGCCATGCTTCCTGTACGGCCTGTGGAACCCTGAGCGAATTAAACCTTTTTTCTTTTTGAGACTGAGTCTCGCTCTGTCGCCCAGGCTAGAGTGCAGTGGTGTGATCTCAGCTCGCTGCAACCTCTCCCTCCCAGGTTTAAGCGATTCTCCCATCTCAGCCTCCCGAGTAGCTGGGATTACAGGCATGTGCCACCACGCCCGGCTAATTTTTTTGTATTTGTAGTAGAGACAGGGTTTCACCGTGTTGGCCAGGCTGGTTTTGAACTCCTGATCTCAAGTGATCCGCCCACCTTGGCCTCGCAAAGTGTTAGGATTACCGGAGTGAGTCACCGCACCTGGCCTAAACCTTTTTTCTTTAAACATTACCCAGACTCAAGTATTTATAGCAGTGCGAGAACAGACTAGTTCCACGGTGGATTTCAATGCTGGCTTATTCCACCTATCATAGCATACTTCAGGTTCATCTATGTGGTGGCAAATGGCAGAATCTCCTTTATTTATTTATTTTAAAACTGAATAACATTCCATTGTGTGTGCGCGCGCGCTCGCATACACACACACACACACACACTCTCTTTCTCTCACACATACACACATACATGCACAGTGTTTTCCTTATTCATTTATCCGTAGATGGACACTTCGGTTTTTTCACATTTTGGCTACTGTGAATAATGCTTCAATGACCATGGGAGTGCAGATATCTTTACTAGATCCTAATTTCATTTCCTTTGGATATATATTCAAAACGTCTAATTGCTGGGTCATGTGGTGGTTTTTTTTTTTTTTGAGACAGGATCTTGCTCTGTCACCCAGGCTGGTGTGCAGAGGTGCAATCTTGGTTCACTGCGGTCTCGACTTCCTGGGCTCAAGCAATCCTCCCGCCTCAGCCTCCCAAGTAGCTAGGACTACAGGCACATGCCACCGCACCTAGTTAATCTAAAAAAATTTTTTAGTAGAGACAAAGCCTCACTATGTTGCCCAGGCTGGTTTAAAACTCCTGGGCTCAAGTGGTTGTCCTGCCTTGGCTTTCCAAAGTGCTGAGCTTACAGGTGTGAGTCACCATGCCTGGACAGTACTGTTTTTTAATTGATATAGTTGTACAGATTTTTGGGGTAATGATCAAATTAGGGTAATTATATATCCATCACCTTAAACATTTATCTTTTCCTTGTGTTGGGAACACTGTTATTCCTCTCCTCTTGCTATTTTGAAATACACAAATAATTACTGTTAATGATAGTTTTCCCACTGTGCTCTCGAATGCAAGAACTTACTCATTCTACCTAACTGTACTTTTGTACCCAGTAGCCCATTTCTCTTCATGTCTTCTCCCTGCTTCCCTTCCCTGCCTCTGGTAATTACCATTCCAGTCTGTCTTCACCAGATCTACTTTTTTAGCTTCCACATAGTGAGTGAGATCATGTGATGTTTGTCTTTCTGTGCCTGGCTTATTTTACTTAATATAATGTCATCTGAGCTCATCCATGTTGCTGCAAATGACACGATTTTGTTCTTTATTATGGCTGAATAGTATTCTATTGTGCATATATACCATAGTTTCTTTATCCATTCATCTGTTGATGGACACTTAGGTTGATTCTGTATCTTGGCTATTGTGAATAGTGCTGCAATAAACATGGCAGTGCCGATGTCTCTTTGATATATTGATTTCCTTTATTTTGCATATATACCTAGGAGTGGGATTACTTGATTATCTGGTAGTTCTGTTTTTAATTTCTTTTTTCTTTCTTTTATTTTCTTCCTTTTTTTTTTTTTTGAGACAGAGTCTCGCTCTGTCTCCCAGGCTGGAGTGCAGTGGAACGATCTCAGCTAACTGCAACCTCCATCTCCCAGGTTCAAGCAATTTTCCTGCCTCAGCCTCCCAAGTAGGTGGGATTACAAGCACCCACCACCACCCCTGGCTAAGTTTTGTGTTTTTAGTAGAGACGGGGTTTCACCATGTTGGCCAGGCTGGTCTTGCACTCCCGCCCTCAAGTGATCTGCCCGCCTCAGACTCCCTAAGTGTGGGATTACAGGCATGAGCCACCGTGCCCGACCTGTTTTTAATTTCTTTAGGAATCTCCATACTGTTTTCCATAATGGCTGCACCATTCTATTTTCCACCAACAAAGGTTTCCTTTTCTTCACACCCTCACCAGTGCTTATCTCCTATCTTTTTGATAATAGCCATCCCAACAGGTGTGAGGTGATATCTCATTGACATCAACATTAGTATTGATAACAAAACTAAAATTTTTGGAAAGATATTAGGGTAGGGGTTGTCAAACCTTCCCTGTAAGGGGCCAAATAGTAAATAATTTCAGCTTTGTGGGCCATATGTTGTCTGTTCTAACTACTCAACTCTACCATTGTAGGGTGAAGGCAGCCGTAGCCAGTATGTAAGTGAATAAACATTCCTGTGTGCCAGCAAAGCTTTGTTGATAAAAACAAACTGCAGGCTGGATCAGGTGAGTGAGACATAGTTTTCTGACCCTCATATTCAGAGACTCCCAGAATCATTGGGTGTTTGGATCGCAGGTTGGCACATAAGTGAGTGTATAGAGCTCAGTGCATGCATCTCCCCAGATTTCTTGGCCCTTCAAACCCACCTCTGCATTGGCCGCTTGGTTTGCCATTTCCATGGATAAAGCCCCAGTTACTGCCATGGCTAGATCCCTGGGTGTACCACATAAGATGACCATGGACAATTTACTCCCTAAGGTGGAGGTTCAAATGGATCAGGAATGATGTACTCATGCCAATGGGCAGGTGTCAGCTACCCGAGTGCTCAGAGGAGAAAGGCTTTGAGGTTACACTTGATTTCATTAGGAAAAATAGATGTGATTGATTAGTCATGTCTGCCATGGGCACCAGGCTAGAGAGAAGTGGCACACTTGCTAAATGTCTTTGATGTTGTAACTAGTCCACCTCCAATGTCCCTTATAGTTCTGAAAAGTGACATTTCTGTGTCCGCATACTTCCTTGGAAACATTCTGGAGATGGAACAATTATGTCAAAGATAGTCATTCAGCATGAAAATGTGATGTGTAACTTTACAAATTCCCAACACGTCTGTTTTTATGAAAGAGACAGGAACTTGGTGTGGTGGGTCACATCTGTAATCTCAGCACTTTGGGAGGCCAAGGCAAGAGAATTGCTTGAGACCAGAAGCGTGAGACCAGCCTCAGCAACATAGTGAGACCCCATCTCTACAAAAAAATAAGAAAATTAGCCAGGTGTGGTGGTGCGCACCTATAGTCCCAGCTAGATGAGAGGCTGAGGTGGGAAGATTGCTTGAGCCCAGGAGGTAGAGGGTGCAGTGCGCTATGATGGCGCCACTGTACTCCAGCCTGGGTGGCAGAGCAAGATCTCATCTCTTAAAGAAAAAAAAGGAAAGTAGACACAGGATGAAGCTCCTGATTCTCCATTCGTGATAGACACACCTGGGAGGAAGCCGGCCGCTGGGAAAATAGAAAGTAAATCCATGACTCCTTTCATATCAGCCTCACAGTTTCAGCACAGAACAAAGATTTCAACACTTTCTTTCAAAGTTTGACAACTGTTTATTGAACACTCATTACGCAGATCAAGGGCTTGTTCCTTGCCCTCCAGAAGTGGTCATTTCCAGCATATAATCCTGGGTGAGAGGGCAGGACCAATCAGAAAAAAGAGAGGAAATGGCTTTCTGGAAAAAGTAGGGGTGGGAGGTAGTGGAAGAGGGGTAAAGAGAGAGAGAGGGCCTTCCAGTTTGGGGGAAATGGTGATAGCAAAGGCTTAGAGGCAAGGGTGAGTAAGAGGACATTAGCCTTGTTGAAAGAGTGACGTCATGGTGGAAGAGATGGGAGATGAGTTATACGCTATATGCTGGTAGATGGCAAAATTGGAAGGGCTTGTAGAATCACTGATGTGTGGGTTGACCTTTGGTCTTTATTTGAT